TATATATATATATATATATATATATATATATATTTATATATATATATTTATATATATATATATATATATATATATATATATATATATATATATATATATATATATATATATATATATATATATATATATATATATATATATACATATATATATATATATAGGGCCGTACCGCTAAATTATTTAGGCATAGTAGTCGTTATTGAAAAAAAAAGGCAGTTTTAAAACACCAAAAAAATATCTTACTAAATATACTTAATAAAATTTTCGTGAAATATATAGCTATATTTGTGTGAACAATGTTTTCTTAAACGAATTTATTGTTCTCCTAATATTTTTTCTATTTTTATACTGCATAGGCGCATAAGCAAGCTCCTTGTTAAAAAATGGGTGTAGATACAAAGATTAATAATACTTTGGTTTAAATTCTTATTCAAAAACTAAACATTTTTCTTACAATTTTTTAAGATGTAAAGTAAAAAATAATTTTGAGACTTATTTTTAGTCAACATTTCATTATATTGGATATTCATGATGGCTAATGAACCAAGTTTATCTGCAGTCATAATGGCTCTCAACCATGTTCTTAATCTTCGCATTGATAAAAGTCTGCGTTCACATTCTGCGGACGTTACGAGTAGTGTACATCCGATCTTTAGAACCTCAAAGAGATTAGGATATTGATTTTTGTTGCAGGTTTTAATGGCTTTAGCTAGAGTATTAGACCTATTTTTAGGTTTAATAACAGACCATTCTCTTTTCCAAAACATTCTTGATTTACAGCTTCTGAGTTTGGTAGATCACTATACATTTTAACTAACTCCTGGAAAGCAGTTATCTCCTCAATGCAAATTATCGAGGGAGCCAAACATAAAACCTCAGCAGCAGTCCAATTTGTCTTTTGGAATCGTATTTTGATTTCTGGATTGATGGTGTCGAGAAAAGGTATAACCAAGGCGTGTTTAAAATAATAATGGGGACTCTCTGCATGTACGTTATTTCTGTAGGCCTGTCTCATAGTGATTCTGGGAATCATTTGTTCTACAAATAATTTACTTGCCATACGAGTAGCTTGAAGGTAAACTGTGTAAGTTTCTTTTTCAACATTTTTTACGTAGATGTTTCAAATCGTCAATTGTTTCTTGAATGTTACTGTATGCATACGCAATACCAGTTGTGCGCCCTTGTAACCTCCCTGTTATATACGACAACGGGTGAAGTAAGCGGTACAAAGTTATATTACTAATTATGAATTTAAACTCAGCGAGCGCATTAAGCAGTGAGTTGGTCTCTCTCAGTGCCGTGCCAAAAGCCCCCCAAACCCCCCGGTTGGGGGGGGGGCTAGGAATTTGAAGGGGCCCTTTTTAAAAATTAAAATTATGATATAGGTGTTTTTTATTTATTTATAATATTAAAACTTCGTTTGCTTATTTTTTCAAATTCGATAAACCTAACAAAATGATGCATGTATTGACATGCATACAATGATGATTGTATTGACTGGCGAATACAAAGGAGGGGTGGGGATTAGCCCCCAAAGAACTATCAAACTTTACAATTTTATTAATAAAAATTAAAAAAAAAAGAAAAAAAAAAAAATACTGTTTTAAAGTTATACACACATTTAATATATATACCGTATAATCTCTCTAATTCGAATCTCCTTAATATGAAAACCTCCATAAATCGATTAAATGCAAAGTCACCGTGAAATACCCTTATGTGAAAAACTTTCTGTAATTTTAAAATCACTCTAATTCGATTTTTTATTTTCCCCATTTTTGTTCGAATTAGAGAGATTGTACTATATATATTTGCCAATATATAAACATTGTAAATGATCAAATGAAATAGTTGTTTAACCTAAAAAATAGAGCCCTTTTTTTTGTTATTGTTCCGACTATCCTCCATTAGGACCAATCAGTGACCTGGATCCGCCATTGATTGTATATATATATATATATATATATATATATATATATATATATATATATATATATATATATATATATATATATATATATATATATATATATATATATATATATATATATATATATATATATATATATATATATATATATATATAAAGTTTTTCAACTAAATCGTTACATTTATTGTGTTAAATATATATATTCTCGTTGAAAGTAAAAATAAATCAAGATCTTCCAAAATTTATATGCGAAAGAGGTTGTTGTATAAAGTTTTCATTTCGGTAGTATTTTTTTTTTTTATATGTGAGTATAAATTATAAAAAGGATAAGGGGACGTGTTAGTTTTACATTTATACATAAAGCAAAGAATATTATATACGTTAAGTTGATATACATTATGGATATTAATTTTAAGTAAAAGAGGTCTGGCGTGAGTAAAACGGTTTTTAAAGTTTATAAAACGTGCAATATGCTTCTGTTAACGATAAAGAAATTCTAGTGTACTTTTATTTACACCACCCCATGCAGTATTAGCATAGTTAATATGGCAATGAATAATTGAGTAATATAATTGAATTAAAGTATATTTATTTTAAAAAAGTCTTGATTTGTATAGCATTCCTATATTTCTAGCAATTATTTTGTTTAGGTTGTTAACATGATATTTCCATATGAGGTTTTCATCAAATAAACACCCAAGAAATTAGTAACTAGCACTCTCTTTATTTCAGTACTATCAATATTCAAGGAAGTTATATTCGAAAGTAGATTTTTTTTGAAGCTTCGTAAAAGAGGACCCATTTAGTTTTTCTCAATATAAATTGATAGTTTGTTTGACCAGTTAGAAAAAAATGTTTGCGAAAAAATCATTAGTCTAGCCGTAAAAGAGGTTATACCATCTAAGGAACCTGCTCATCTTACGCAACCTTCCCCTACTTACCTTTCATTCGTAACTCCTTTGCTTCATTTATATATTTTAATAATTTTTTGTATTTTAATAACTTTAAAATAAAGGAATTTTTCTTAGTTAATCGTGTGTTATTAATGTATTATAAACTACTTTTGTATACTTACCTTTCAATTGTAACTCCTTTTTTCAGTAAACAGCTTTCTTCTTATTTATATCGTTTTTTGCAATTAAAAAAATCGCAATTAAATTATAGATGCCATCTAAAACACTCAAGTGTATATAAACACATTATCAAACATAATTTAAAAAATTATCAATAAAAAACAGCAATCAAAATTGACGAAACAAAAATAAAAATATAATATTAAAATTGGAGCAACAAAGATAAACATCTAAATTTCTTTTTAAAATATCCACCATTTACATTGCTGCATGGAAATTTTTATAACTATTTCTTTGCTACTAATTGTTGAGCCAACTTTCAGATCTAATATTCTTTTTTAGTTGCTTTACATACATTCGCCCATACCTTTTTATCTTTTTGAACTTATCAAAATTTCTATTAAACATAATTAAACTGGTCTTCATAAGCAATTTAATGCAATATTTAATAAGAAATTGTCAAATTGGCTGTTTATTCGCAGCATTTTTGCAACGGTGGCGTAGCAGAGCAAATGTTATAAAAAACATAAGCAAATAAATTTTTTTGTAAAAATTTGGTATGTAGATGACATTTTCAAAAACCTTTTGCGGCACTTGCGTAAAGGGAACGCTTGAGTTACGCAAAACTTACGAAAAAACTTACGCAAGTATTTTATTATAACTTGCAACATATTTTATTATCATTTGCGTATAAGAATGTGAGTAATATATAAAAAATGATATGTTATACATTGTTTTACTTTAATAATTTAGTCATTACGGATATATCATTAAGTAAGCTAATAATAAACAAAATTGAAAAGAATCACAAGCTAAACTGGTCACAAACTAAATTGGTCATCATAAGCAAATTTCTATCACACAAATATTATTTTATTATTTAAAGGATTTGTAAGTTGCGCCAAAAGTAAGTCAGTAAACAGCAAACGTAACTTGTCTTATTCGAAAAAGGTTGTAAATACTTTCTAAATATTAACTGCTTGGAAAAATTCTGTAATAAAATAACACGTTGCATTATAGGTATATTTTAGAACGGCTTTTTATATTAACTTGAAAACGAGGGTATATATAACCATTAGAAATATTCTTTAAATTTATATATATATATATATATATATATATATATATATATATATATATATATATATATATATATATATATATATATATATATATATATATAATATACATATATATATATATATAATATATATATATATATATATATGTATATATATATATATATATATATATATATATATATATATATATATATAATATATATATATATATATATATATATGTATGTATATATATATATATATATATATATATATATATATATATATATATATATATATATATATATATATATATATATATATGTATATATATAATTATAATCAGAAGTTTCTAATAGTTATTATCATAACATAATTATCTATACTATCAAAAAGTTATGACATAATCAGAAAGTTAAACTTTTAATATAATCTAATATATTAGTTAAATATCTTTAAATAAATAATTAACTGATGCCTTGCTAAACAACAGATGTGTTGCATTTTGCACGCAATGCTTTTAAATAAAGGAAAACCTTAAAGTTTCAGACCTCCAAAAATTATTACTTATTTGTAATATATTTGCTTTTGAATAAAAATAACTAAAAAACTAGCATTAGTATTGTATATCAAAAGCAACCACTCTAGTAAAGATGTTTATAGATTCTAATCTTTTTTATAAAAAACTTATCGAAAACAAATAAAAATATGCAGAATTTCTATAGTAGCCTTATCTTTCTGATTAATAAAATCCATATATAATTATAAAAGAATTTACTTTAATTTTATAGTCTGCTGATTTTTTATATTTTATACAAAAACACGTTTATAGTTGATAATGACATTAAATTTGAGGAAAGTTACACATTCTATTTCATTTTTACTCAATTTAATATTACTTAAGTATTACTTGTTTAACATAATATATAATTATTAACTTCATAACGTAGGTATATAATCTCGCAACGCAAATTAGCAATATGTGGAATAATATTCTTTTCTTTTAGTATCACGGATAAATTATAATTTTGAAAATGAAAATAATTATATTTTTGGTGCTATCTTCATTACTTAAAGATGCAGAATTGGTAAGTTAGTTTTATACCGTATCTTGTGAATTAACGTCGCGAGGTACATATTTAAAAATAACCTTTATTTAAGATATTTTAGTATCACTTAAATAAAATTGTTTTACTATTAAATTTTGAAACTCAACATTTTCAATAAAAGAGTGTTTAATTTAAGTAATACATAAATAATTGACGAAAAGCCTTTTCATTGATAGAGCTAGCAAAACCATTTGAACCATGTCTCTACGGAAAGAGAGGTTCAACAAAAAGCAGACTTTTAAATGATATATTTTATTTAAATATAATCAATATAGCATTTGCCTATTATATTAGTTAGTGCATCTTATACATCTAATCTTTTTTTTAATGCATCTAATACCGGTAATACCAATACCGAAATACTGGTATTATCGGACTTTTTTAAGTACCCAAATACACCGGTTAAGTACCCAAATACACCCACATGTTGTAACCATGGTGATTTTATATTTTTATTGTTTTCCAAATCTCGCATTTTGGAAAGTTTACATCGTAAAGAGGTTAGGCGTATAACTTTCAAGTTTTCGCCCTTTTTGGTTTAAGTCTAAATAAATTTCTAAAATTACTAAAAAACTTTTATTTCGATTATAATGCGTACGATTAGTTAATTATAATTATTTATATAAAATAATTAATTAATTATTACAATTAATTAACCGCCTTTTTAATAATAAAAATTAAAAAAAAATTTCCTAAATTTCTAAGACGTTAAGACGTTAGACTAATCGACTGTATTGTTGACTTAATATTAGTAAAGAATTTTCAAAGCAAGAGAATTCCCAACGGGCATATAAAAAAGTTGTTTGTTTAAAATTAAAAAGTACCAAAATGAAAAGAGTTTAGAATAAATAGTTTGAAATAAGTTTTCAAGGTTAAGTTAAAAATGAGTCAAATAAATATACAGGAATATAGATGCGGATGTTGTTTCAAAAGATTGGATAAAATCAAAAATAAGCGTGGAATATCTAGAGTTTTTTTAGAAACAAAGTTAAGGTTCCTAAATGAAATACGAAAAAAAATTCAACAAAAACAAAAATAATATTGAGCTTGAAACACATTGCTGTGCTGCTTGTTTTTGAAATTGCACGGAGAAAGAAAAATAAGAAAATAAATTCATCGTTAAGTGGGTTTATAGAGACGCAGTCGTTTGATTTTCAAACAGAGAATCTTGAGTTGCCTGAACAGTTGGAAACAAATCAAGCATTTGATTCTCCACCAATTATTGAACAAAATGAACTTTAAAAAGTTTTCTAGTTAAGTTTAAAAAAGAATTAATAGAGCTAAAAAAAAAGCGAAAAAAGAAGCGAAAAAAAATGCATCAATTTTGGTGGATATACTTCGAACAACTGCTTCTCATCGCTATTGTTTCGTATGCCGCTATAACTCTTTAAAAAATTTTAAATTTTTTTCAGGGCAAGGTATTATTGACCCTTATGTACAAAAACAAATTCTTAAACGCACTGTATCAAGATGTTGTGGAGAGCATTTGAACGAAGTTGGATTATTAAACAATAAAGCTTTAAATCAGTTGGTTGTTGTTAAAAATAATGTGAAACTAAATGCATCAGAAGTTAAATCTTTATTAGAGATGTTTCGATATTACGCTCAGCATAGCAGTTTATTTTCAAAGTTTTCTGATATTTCAAAACTACCCGAATCTATTTGCCAACGAACTACTGGATTCAATAGACAACAATTTGATGACCCACGTGGAGATTTGATTTCACTCAGAAACACCAGTAATAGATCTAAATTTCAAGTTCTAGCCGTCTTTCTTTTTTGGTTAAAAACTGGCCTTGATCAATACACGATCACTGATTACTTTGGCATTGGTTCTCATATTGAAATATCCCGATATTTGCAGCAAGTTAGAAACGCTTTTGGCAAAGATTTCATCCCTCATAACTTAGGAGCAGTTCACTTAACAAGAGATGAATAGTTAGCAAATAACAGCAAATTGGCCAAAGAATCCTTTAATGCTAAAGAGTCTCAATTGATATTAGTTGTTGACGGAACTTACTGTTATTGTCAAAAGAGCAGCAACAACTATTTTCAACGAAAAACATTCAGTGTACAGAAAAAAAAACATTTAGTTAAACCTTTTTTATTTTCGATATCAAATGGAAAAATTGTAGATGTATTTGGACTTCATGAGGCAACAAAAAATGATGCTTCAATCATGAATGATGTAATTCTAGGTAAACAAAAACTTACAAAATTGCTTCATCCTGGTGACATTATATTACTTGATAGAGGCTTTTGAGACTGTCTTGATTAAAAAATACTTACAATTTAGAGCCAAAAATGCCTGCATGCATAGAAAAAGGTCAAAAACAATTGACAACGTTACAAGCTTTTTTTTTTTGTTATTTAGGTGCACCAAGAAGTGTTACCAAGTGTCAAAGAATGGTTACCAAGTGTCATTGGGTAATCGAAGTCACAAATTCATTTCTAAAAACATCGTTTAGAGCCTCAGGTAAAGTGCGCAATAAATGTTTGCCTCAGACACTCACCGACTACAGAATCGCAGCACCCCTTACTAATAAATTTTTCAAGCGTCTTTACTCAGACCAGGATGACAAACAAACAATTATTAAAAACATGAAAGTAAAGCTTCATTTAGAGAATAGTTTGGAAAAGCTGGTCAAAACTGAAAAACTAAACAAAAAGAGTTTGTTTGTATACATTGAAAGAGCACTTGTTCTTGATTTTCCTAAATTGCTCGAAGAAATAATAAAAAACAACATAACTTTAGGCTCATATCAACTTAGACAATGTTTAAGCTACATTTCTGGACATTTCAATAAAGGTAAATATGAATTGGCTATATGTGAAAGTGTTTAATCGATAGGGAAATTAAAGTTCTTTCTCTTATTATCAGATCTCTCTATTCTGGTTCTGCAAAGTATAAAGTGTATGTGCAAAATTTACCTAATACAAATGATGAAACTGAAATTGAAGGATGGTACTGTACTTACAAGTCCGGCATGAGAACCTTATAAGAGTAGATGAAAGCGTAGATGAAAATAAATCTATCAATAATACAAAGCGTTCACTGTCTACTATGCATAATGTAGTCAATCCAAAAGAAATTGAATGTTAACAAAAAACAAAGTGAAAACTCATGGTTTTTTAGTAAAATTCCTAAATGGGGAGGAATGATTTTTAGAAAATTGAATTTTAAAAAGTCGGTGAAACTATTGAACACATGCACAATTGATTATTTTTTACTCGCACTTTGGACTTCGAGCAAGCTGTCTTAGAACATATTGATTAATTTAAAAAACTCTGATCTTAAAGAAAAAATGGCTTTTATATGGGGTTTATAATGGGGTTTATTGATTCCAATGCTTTGGAAAAAGCAAAAGGTGTTTGGCTCTTAGACGTTTGCAAGCTTTGTGTTTATCAAGACGAAAATGAAAATCTCCACATTTGGAACTGAAATGGAGTATTTCATTAATTTCATTAAACCAATTCAGTCTTTTGAGTCACAAGTAGTTTGCAATAATCAATTGTGCATGCGAAGTTCAACTAAAACTTTTAATGATCTTTACTTCTCAAAAGTAGGTGATAAACTAGCCTTGAACTTTTTTCTTTTAAAAAAGTGTTCTTACTGTTCTCATCACCTTTCGATTTTAATGGTGTTCCTCCTTATCTTTTTATTGAGTCGGATATTCAAAATAAGTTAAATGTCCATCAACTACCAAATGAAATATCTTTCGGAGAAAGTAAAATGTACAAGTTTATATGCACTATAGCAAAAGACAGTATTTTCGAAGTTTTTTTAATTTAAAATCAAAACTCTATTTAGTGGATAGTTTTTGCACACAGAAATCTTAATATTTCTCCTTGCGTTTGTTATTTAGTGTAAACGTTAAAAAAAGTTACATTAATCGCATCTATCTTGGTTAATTGAACTAAATTGTTTTTTGTGAAGTTTTTAATTTGAAAACATTGTGCATAATATATAAACATACTTAAAAACACTGGTAACATTTATTTAACCTTTCACTTTTTGTATGATAATTGAATAAGCATCGAACTGCACAAAGCCCTGCATCACATTCTTCACATTCCTATCTTAATTCTTTTCTAATTTTGTGTTTGTAAAATACCGCACACCCTCTCTGTGCATTAATCTTTTATTATCAATTTCAATAAGCATTCATTAAATACATCTTTTCATTTTAATTTATCAAGTATATAATATTTTACCTTAACGTAATCTACCTTATCAAGTTTATAAATTTTTACCTATAACTCTCTAGCAGTGATTTAACCAACTGAGCTATCCCAGCATAAGACCGTAATATTACAGCGTGGTCATTTGGGAAACACTTTTAGTATGCGTAATAATACGGCATAGACTGTTAAAGAGTTAATTTGGAATATTGAACTTTATATTTCGTAGATTAGACTTTTATTACTTAATTTGATGTTAGAAACTTTGAAAAAACTCGCTGGGAAGCCATTTTAAACTACACTTAGCAAAATTTAAATATCTACTTCTCACCCCTCGTGTGTGCAGGATATTTTTGGTATTTAATATTTATTAGGGGTTTCTAAACAATAAATTTTTAACAGAAGTTGCGCACACGAGGGGTGGAAAGGGGCGAAAGCAAACACCATGGGTGTTATACCTCTTTGAAAAATGAGTTGTACATATTGTTTCGTTCAGTAGTACTAATAAGACTCCAATTAACACGGGTATTGAGTTTGCTTAACACTATATTAAAAATATATGTACAGGGCTTGTGCGCGATTTCTTTCTTTACGTAAACCACGCCCGAGAATTGATTTTTTAAAACTTCTTGGCGCGATAAACAGCTCTCGTTCAGCTTGTAATGAACCACGCTTGCTCATGCTCAAGTTTGGCAAGAAGTAAATGATAAGTTGTTTGATTGATTTTTTATAAAAAATTTTTGATAAAAATTTTTAGTTAAGGGTAAAACTTGTTTAATTTAAAAGCAAAATTCTTC